ACTTGAAAAGAGTCTGTAAAACGTTTTGGTCACTTATAAATGACATAAGTAATCCTTTTGAAAATGTTTATAACAAACAATTACACAATTAGCATTGTGTTCAACTTGTATTCCCCCCCTTAAAACATTGAAAACAGTTAAAAGATTCATTACGGGGTATGAACTCACCTGATGTGGGTGATTCAACGAATATGCGCGTAAGGATGAGAAGTTCCACGAGTGAAGTCCCGAGACACAACAAATCCTAAATGACATACATTGGCATGTGTTGACATTAATATAGTGCTTGGAAGCAACCAAATGCGAGGAAACACCTCACGGGACTAGGGAACACTTTGACCAAGTGTTGGAATCACCTGTGATTCAACTAAAGAATGTTTAAGGCCATGACTTGGTGTTTACGGCCATGTGTTTACGGCCAAGGGAGTTTACGGCCGTAAACTCATGGTCAAAGTTGCATATTAGGGTGTTTGAAGGCTAGGGAAGCTTGAGGGATTTTTGCTCTACCCTAGTATGAAAAAGGCCACCTCTATTGAGGCTTTTGATGAGTTTACGGCCAAGCAAGGAGCTTACGGCCGTAAACTCATGGACATTATGAAGTGAGTGTGGTTTAAGGTCCTATACTCATCAAGGAAGGTTTCTGGGTCACTAGTTTTGCATCTAGGAGGGTTTATGGCCCATACATGCCATAACATTGAGTTTACGGCCAAGGGAGATCTTGGGCCGTAAAATCAAGATGTTGTTGGGAAATGCATGTTTCAAGGGTGTGATTCAAGGCTTCCTAGTAGATATGAAGTATAGGAAAGAGTACTTACGATCTAGAAGCTTGAAATGGTCGGTTTTGGCCAAGAACACTAGTGTGTGTTCTTGGTGTTCTTGGTGAAACTTGAAGATTTGAAGATCTTGATGAAAATGAATGTTTTCATGGATGGAATCAAAGAGTGTAACTAAGAGATGAAGTGTAACAACAAATCAAGGAAAGAACACTTACGTTTTTGATGATCTAAGATGATGAACTCGATGATACTTGAGAGGATTTGGGGTGTTCTTGAGGTTGGAATGCAAGAAATTGCTAGAAATGACCAAGGACCCCTTATATACACTGGAGTTTACGGCCACATGAGTTTACGGCCGTAAACTCATTGGCTGGTGGCCGTGAACTCCATGAAATGCAGTTAATGCCTGATTTGTCGTACAGTGTCTCTAGCAGGTGCATTCTAACACTCATTCCTTAAGTGTACTAGGCTTAAACTCCTTAAAATGTCCTTTGACCAGGCTAGAACTCATTACCAATGAGTCTGACACTCTGTGGAGTTGGCTGACTGTGTTTTAAAAGCAAAAATTTTTCGGGTTGTCACAAATTGGAAGCCGATTGTAGATAGATTTCAAGCCAAACTTTCAAAATGGAAATCAAAAACCTTATCCTTTGGTGGCAGATTGACTCTCATACAATCAGTACTTGGCAACCTACCAACATACTACATGTCATTGTTTGTAGCACCTGATGGGGTAATCCAGTTTCTTGAGAAACTGAGGAGTAGGTTTTTATGGGGTGCTTCGGAGGAAAGCAGGAAAATACACTGGACTTCTTGGGATATGGTGGTTGCACCCAAGGAATCGGGAGGTCTAGGTGTTGGTTCGATAAAAAGTCTTAACATATCCCTATTGATGAAATGGTGGTGGAAGCTGCGAACGGAACCTCACCACCTTTGGGCAGAACTCATCTCAAGCTTGCATAACCTCAGGACAAAACCAGATGATGTATACTCAAAAAGATCTCTATCGGGAGTATGGAATAACATTGTTGGGATAAGAAAGGCCCTCGTTAAAAAGGATATTCCTATCACATCTGTAATATCTAAACCCCTCACATCCCATGGCGCAAGCTGGAGATGTGGACTTACTCCGGATGGAACATATACAGTCCGTGCTCTTAGACAAAGATGGGACTATCGGTCTCACAACAATGACAAAAAAGTATGTTGGCTTAAAGAAATTCCCTTGAAAGTCAATTGTTTTATATGGCGGGCAGAAATGGGCAGAATCCCAGTAGCTTTAGAGCTGTCAAAGATAGGGGTATTTATGGAAACAATGAATTGTCTTATGTGTAATGAATGTGAAGAAAGCACTGATCATGTCCTAGTGGACTGCCATTATGCTAGGAAGGTTTTTGAAGGAGTATTCAGCTAGTGTAGTCTGAACATGGAACCTTTTCATTTGGTGAAGGAAGTTGTAGATTCGGCTTCTCGGTGGGTAGGTGCCAAAAAAAGAGAGAGCTCCTCTTGGCAATCTACTATGGAACCATATGGTGCATTTGGAAATCAAGGAACGAAAGAGTCTTTAAGAAAAACCGGCTACCAACATACAAAGTTATTGATTGTATAAAATCAGTGACATTTCTCTGGGTGAAAAACAGAGGTAAAATTAACCGGATGGATTGGGCAACATGGTCTCAATGCCCACTGTCTTATTGACTATCTCTATTTCAGTTTAGTTTCCTTGTATTTTATTTATTTATTTATTTATGTTGTACTATTGTATGCCACTAATTGTGGCTACTTATTTTTCTTTGCGTTTATTAATATATATCTTTATTGACGGGTTCCAAAAAAAACTAAATCTTACATTTATCTCAATAATCTGTTTTATGGCCTTTATGTTTTGATTCTTTATCCTCGGACCAAAAAAATCCCTTTTCTGTGGGTTCATCCATTAAGAAGACACATTTTTTATGAGTTTTTCCTGTTTAATTTTGAAGGTTCATGGTAAGTTTTTACCTTTTTTTTTATTAGGTCAAAGACCATTAAAATATCTTCTCTAATAAATGAAAATCTATTTTACCATATGTCAATCTCTCATAAGTTTTGATACTTGTCATTTTGTGGTATTTTTGAAATTAATAGTATCCACATGTCAATTTTAGGTTTTCTTAAATTTTAAAATTAAAAAGCCACATAATACATATAATATATAAGTAAAGTATTAAATGTAATAAATATGATCATAAATTGCAATAAATATGTTTTTTTCTTTTCTTATTTTAAAATTTAATTTTAAAAAATACTTAAGGTTTACATTTTGATATTTAATTTTTTTTTATTTAACTCATATAATACATGAGTCTCACACCTAGTTTGTAAAATATATGAGTTTATATAACATCTGTTTTTTTATAAAATATCTGAATTTTATAGAGTATTTGTAAAATTGCCAACATTAATCACAAAAATCCTAAAATGGGAGGGTCTCTATATGTAACAACCATATTTTCGCAAATGTTATAAAATAACCGTCTAATTTAAAAAATAAATAAATAAATAAAAAGATCTTAAGAAATTACTTAGTCTTTTCATTTTGTTGTATGAGTCATCGTTTCAAATAGAAAAAAATTAAATGCTCGTAATTAGCATGATAATTTGCAAAACAATAAAATTTCACTAAATATGCATTTCATTTAACGAAATATTATACTTCACGTCGTCTCAAGTTAATTTTAAATTAATAAACATATTGGGGTCCCCATCCAGTTGTAGAAAATTAACATGTTCGCTAGTTTAAAATGCACGTTTAGTTGAAAAATCCCTATCACTTACATCACAAAAAAAAGAACATTCGGCAAAATGGATATATGGCTTTTTGAAATGCTCTAATTCCATGTTTTTTTACATCATCAACTTATTAATAAAGTTAATTTACATTTTTGGTCAATGTAATACATTAAAGTTGATAAAAGAACATAGAATTCGAAGTCTAAGTACCAATAATGATATATTTCTTCTGAAAAGTTAAAAACCATCTTTAGTAGTGACATTCTTGTGAATGGACACGCATGCTTGTTTCTAGCAAAGTTAAGTCACACATTTGTGCTCATTTTACATCACACAAATACATTTCATGGGGATGGGGTCCACCAAATAAAAACCAAAAAGGACACTCTAATAGAAACAAACAACCCACCTGCATATAATATTAATATTGTAGCACTAAATAGTAAATACTAATGGTGTTGCATATGAAAAGGAAAAGGATAACTTGAAGTAAGGTACACCTAAGGGTATAAACATTAGGTACACCTAAACTCCTATCAAACATAAAAAATATTTCATCTTTGAGGCTAAAATGGGAAATTATGCACTCCTCTCACATGGGACTATACTCATATTTGATGTCGTTCCTATATTAGCTTCTTTCTACTCTTTGTATTGTATGGATTTAAAATAACTTGACTAAATTGCCCCCAACTCCCAAGGAGAAAAAAAAAGATCTACCATTGTTTAGCATTCTGAAAACATTAAGCAAGAAACTAATCCAATTGAAAAGATGGATTTACTTAACAATGTATCCTAATGATTTCAGAAATAAATATTCTTCATATTAAGCTTCCTATTAAAGTATTGGATAAGATTCCTAAAGAAATTTCCCACTATGAAAGGTCTTCAAAAATTCAGGACAATTTCTTTTTCTAAATTTGCAGCAACAAGAATTAAAGCAGATAGTCAATAAAAGTAACTTAAATCGGACCACAAAACACATATCTCCAAACATTCAGAGAGAGGGATGTTATTATTCTATTCTCATATTAAAGGTAAAGATGAATTGGAGCACACTCAATATGGTCAATACACCAAACATTCAGAGGTTGCTAATCTTCAATCTATAGCATAACCACAGATCCATGTTCAACTAAATCGAGTAGGTAATTAATGTTCTACATACATATAACTATAAAGAGGCAAATAATATCATTTCAAGAATCTTTCAATTCAGGAAATTTGTATTCTAACTTCATGTTGCTGATAACGTGTAAAAAGGTACAAACAGAAACAGGGGAATGTTCTGTAAATGAATGGTATACAGTAATATGAAATACTATACAATCTAATCGTGTGATGTTCTTTGCTTTCAATTAAGTTGAGAAAGAAATGAAATTAAATAGGCATCAATGATCAAATGACAGCAAGAGGAAAACAACGTGCACCAGTGAATTTTCTTTTTGGCTGTCAGTGAACTGTGACTTTAGATCTTTTTCTTGCCTCGCTGTAAAGAACAACTCCCATTATCGTCACCCCGAAACCGGAAATCCCCATCACCGTCACCGGATTTTTGAAAATCATTACAGAAACCACCGCTGCAACAGCAGCCTTGGCGTTTCCTAACACCTGCAATGTCAATGCACTCGTATGCTTCGTCACCAAAAAGTTCGTCAAGTTCACCAAATACGCCACTGTAGCATTTCCGATCAACAGAAACACCATAAACGAATCACTTTTCGCTTTCTCTAATGTCTTGCCCAACACATTCCCTTCTATATACAAAGTAAAAGGTAACAAAATCGCGGCCGCCATTGGCGCCATATACAATAAGAGATTCATTGAATGGAGTTTCTCCGAATCCGACGTCAACAACAATCCTTGAACCACCGACTTCAACGCTCTGCCAGCGGTGGATCCCACGCACATCAAAAATCCAAACAAATGAAACAATGGTTCGCTGTTACTCGCCAAAACAATTCCGAATACAACTGGCATTAAAGCGAAGTATACCTCAGCAGACTCCTTCTTACAAGTGATCAGGAAAGCGAAGATCGCGGTGAAAAATGGCGTCGTTGCTCCAATAGCTTGGTTGAATGAAACAGGCAGGTATCTGAGTGAGGTATTTCCACAAACGACTGAGAAGCAGAAAATTGCGGATAATGCGAATATTTTAAAAAACTGTTTTCGAGATGAAATCTGTTGAAACGGAACGATCTGGAACCACCGGATTGCGATCAAGCTGTAGAAAGTACAGGAGATCATGTGAAGCATTGTGAGGAAGATCGGGTATCTGAAGCCATAGAAGCTGAGAAGGTATTTGTTGAGGAGGAGGACGCCGATGTTGGATAAGTACCATGACGCGATGATCAGAGCCGTTAAGATTGTCGGAGAAACGACTGATGTGATAGATAAGGCCGCGAAAATGTTGTTGCTGGTGCCGTAACGGACTTCACCGGTGGGCGTGGTCGGGATGTCGACGGAGGTTTCTAACCTAGGATTGCTGCTCCGGCGAGTGGTCCATGACTGAGCCTCCACCATTGACGGTGTACACACAGTGAAGCTGAATGTGTTTGTGTTAAGATTCGGATTGGATCTGGGAAAATGAGATGTGTGCAGTGCAGGTGACTATGATATACTGATAAGACAGAAAAGTTTATAACTTACCCTGATGTTTAAACGTTATGCCATTTTGCGTCCTCAAAGTTCTATTTATATATATACACAACTTAAAGTTATTAATAGTGAATGCAGCTTTTTTAACTATGGATTTGAAAGAATCGTATTTGTGTATTTTTTTTTTCACTTAATATATGTTATTATTTTTTCTAAATCAGAAAAATAATTATAATTAGAAGACTGTCCACATTATATTGGATACCCGTATAACCATCGAAGGCTGTTGAAGTGACTAATTCCTGGAAATTAGGAAGCATTGAGAACAAAGAAATTATTGGAGTTATCATTTCTCTCTAGTACCAATACCTTTGATGTTAAGAAATGATCTTTTGCAGGAAGGTTGGCTAGATATTTCTTGTAAAAACACTAGCCCTCATCAGTTCATAATGACAAGATTTTCATCTTATTTATCATTTTATCATTATGCACATAAGGGAGGAGCCGTATGCGATGAAAATCTCATGTACGGTTCTGTAACGGAGATTCTTTGAATTGAATGACGACCGTAACGGATGTCAGCTCAATCCGAAAGAAATAGATCAATCTGGGTTATAGGCCAGCAAGCCCGGAACCAGCAAGTGGGAGTCTGCTGACAAAGAGAATGTTAGTGAGTCTTAGCCATGATCAGACGAATGGTGTCAAAGACGAGAAAGAAGAAAGAGGAAAATGATATTTTTCATTTGTTATAGCGACGGATGTAGAAAAGAAAACATGTGATTTCCTATTTAACTGAAGCCGGACAAAATTAAATAGTAAAAAATAGTTGGGCGGATCCGAATGTATGTCTTAAAATATTTAAACATAACTCCTTACAATTGAACTTGATGATGTCTTAAAGATGAAAATCAAACATGTAAGATGGAAAATAGTAATGAAGAAGAACAAAAAAAACCCTTAAAAACAAATATTAAACGATTTTTTTGGTCACCAGGCGCCGCCGCCCTCTTCCACATCTTGTTGCCGCCTCTGGTCCTTTGTCGCCGGTAGTTGATTACAGGACATCACTTTGCTTCTCTGGTTTTCCGCCCTACCATCATAAAGCTTCAAAAGATCGCAATTCTACCATTGGTCCACTCTCCGACGCTCTCTATGGCTCTGTCCATCTCCACTGGTGTTTGCCTTCTCCGGCGACCATCTGCGTGGCTACAACCTTGAGTCTGTTTTGTTGGTGTTGTATGCCCTCCGCTCACCTTCGGATTACTCATTCATTTAGGTGAGTTTTAATATTTTGAAACAATCTGAAATCAGAATTCAGAGTTTGGAAATCAGTAAAGTAATATTGCCATTTCAGAATATTAATTTTTTTATTTGTATATTGTTTAAAATTAATAATAAAGAATCTCGTCTTTTGTTTTATTTGTTCATTGATTAGAAAATTTTGTATTGTATATGATGTTGTTTGTTTTAATTTTATTAAACTGGTTTATATTTGTTGATTGATGATTATGACTTTGTGATAATTATTATTTATTTTAAGATATAATGTTAAATGTGAAACAAGTTTTTTATTTCATGATCATGAAAAACAAAATGAAAAAAAATGAGCAACAAACATCTTTCTCAAAATATATGAAAATTGCTATCCTGAATTCTGGAAAAAGACTAAGTATGTGTCATACCACGTAAATCAACGAGATAGAAATTAGAAGTGCCTTAGATTGTATTATTGGCAACCCGACTCGGTACCAAATTTTTTTTGACTAATTTATTTTGTCACCTCATTCAAGATGGACACCGTGAGTTTCAATCCTAGATTCGCCAATGCTCCTTAGTTTTGGAGTGCAACTAGCGCTATGAGAGCCGATCACTCAAGTGGTAAAAACTTTGATTGTTCCTCTTCTTGTGTTCTTGTTCTAAGTTTTTGATGACCTGGTTGAAATTGGAGTGAATTGCTGCCCCATTGCTATCATAGATTATGTTTCTTTATACTTTCGATTCTTGTGATTTTATGTGATTAATTTTCAGCCACTTTGGGTGTGTTTTTGATGGCTAATGGCTGCCAAAATATTGCCAAGAACACTCTCAAAAGTGTTATTAATCATTTTAATGAATTGCTCAAAGTTTTGGAAACATTGTCTTCCTTTTGTTGTTTGAATTCGTGTTTTTCTATTACCTCAATTCTAGTGATTTTACATGAGGTATTTTTCCGCATAATGTAATGCTCGTGTTTCTAGGCTAGGCATTAATATTGACATTATAGTCTAGGTTAACCTTTGTAACTCATTTTGAAGAAATGAAAAAGGAATTATGTGAAAATTATGTGTTTTATGCTTAATTATTAGGGTTTAATTAATTAAGAATAAAAATGAGCGTCAAAAATTAAATTTTAGATAAAGCCGATATCTATTAAGAAACTTGTATTGGGCGTGACAAGGATTACGGATATATAAAGAATGCCGAAATCCGAGTTATAACGAAGAAGTTATGACCTGTCGAAGTTTCGCGACAAACCGGCACGGGGCCGAATGTCGTAAAAAGTGAGTTTTCGATAAAATACTTTTTAGCCTTAGTGATCTAAACGAAACTCGTAGTGTTCGTTAAACCGAGAGTAGGTATAAAAAGAAATCCCAAATCTGACTTCGTATGAGGAAGTTATGATTTTTCGAAGTTTCAGCTTAACAGTAGACAGCTAAAAACTCGAATTTTAGATCGAGAGATTTTTAGCCGACACGACCTAAATGAGAATTGAAGGTCTCGTCATTTATAGCACAACGGTAAAAAGTCTGACGAAAACGGACGTCGGATGAAGAAGTTATGAATTTTTAACGGATTTCCTGTCCCAGTCTGTTAAAAATAATAATTTAAAAATTAAAGTCAAAATTAGCGAACGAAGTCTAAACGAAAGTTGTAGAGCGTAATTTTACCTACGCGTGCATATAAAGAACGTCAAAAACGGAGCTCGTATGCGAAAGTTATGGATTTTAGAAGTTTTTGCACAAAAATCGAGAAAATTCGCATAATCATGTTTTTGCCACGTCACCCTCGCTTAGATCGTGCCACGTGTCCGAAATTGGTGAGTCATGCGAGCCACGTGTCCTCGCCTCGCATGTGCCACATGTCCGAAACGAGGCTGAGTCATCCGAGCTGCTGAGCGGTCCAATGCATGTCCGACGCGTGTCCTCATTCACATGTCCGAAGCCCTCGCAAGAAGCCACGGAACCCTACTTCGGACCAGTAGACCTCGGTCCAATCAGGAGAGGACAGCAAGCTTTCGCACGCACAGACCTCGTGCGAGCCATCCCCCTGCGAGCTTCGGATCTGCGACGCGTGGCACTTTCTCACCCGTCGGATCAGGACTTCGGACCCCTATAAATACAAGGGTCATGCGAACCCTCCCGGTTACTTTTGAGATTTTGCCATATTTAGCCCCTTTCTTCATATTTTCTTCATCTTAAGATCCCCCAAAGCCTCGATATCGATTATAAGCCCCGGAGTACGCCACGAAGTGCCCGTGAAGCCCGAAAAATTTATCTTTTCGGTTTCGAAGCCCGACCCTCGCAGAGCCCGATTTCTGAATAAAACTCCCGGTTTTATTAGAAACGAACGTTTTAGGAAACGAATTGCTGCCCGATTTTCATCAAATCAAGTGAGTGTATAGTCACTTTCATTTTACACATAGATATGAAGTATTTACCTTATAATACGTGCTATGTGTAAATATATTAATTGTTTATTTGAGGTGAATGTTGAGTTGATGTTTTATACAAGTTTTAAACTGTATAAGTATTTTTATCTACAAATATGTTGGGTAGAACATGGGTAGATAGTTGGTGTGTGATAAACTAAAGTGATGAGAGGTCTCGATGTGATTTGAGATTCAGTCATCTAGCGGAGTTTGGATGACGACCACGGACTTTCTAGACAATCCAGTGGGAAACATTAGCAGGCCCGCAACCTGTAGGTGTTAATGAACTTGGGTGTTTATTCGTTGTACTCCATCCCCCTCATGGTTGCCTTTAGGACATGTATGGCTGAGGAAACCCCTTAGCAGTAGTGTCCATCCCGATCATATTCTTTAGGCTAGGTCCCTTGTGAAAAGTGTTTAGAGACGTAAAGTGAGGATAACGGGAACGGGTAATCAGGGTTATTGTTGATTGGTGAACTTAATAAGTTTATTATTACTGTGAGTTGAAAAGCCTATATTCTCACCAGGCTCCCAAGCCTGACCCACTCAGTTTTTTTATGATTACAGGTAGTGGACCCCGAGCATAGTCGAAGGATGATGTGAGATTTTTGGATTATAGGCCAGTAGTTGTAAATAACTGTAGTAAGGCTTATAATGTCTTGTTTATGCTTTTGATCTGTATCGGAACATGACATCCCGAGGTTTTGATATATATGGAAAATATATACCTTCTTAATGAAGGGTTTTGATAAACTTTTATCATATGTTGTTTGGGGACCAATTCCGCAACATCTTTTGAAAAGATTTCTCTGATTTTATTTTAAAAAGCATAAATTAAATCGGTCTTTTCTGGCCGAGAAATTAGGGGATGTCACAGTTGGTATCAGAGCATTAGTTTAAGCGAACTAAGAAATTGTAGGATTTCTAGACTTAAACTTAGAATGCTAAGTGATGATTGTGAGATGAGTGTCTACCATATTTTAGACACGAGCACTAGTTTATTTTAGGAAAGATGCCTAAAATGCCCTTATGTGCTAAATGCTATGTGTTTGCCATGTGTGCCATTATTTGTTCGGATCTATGGTCTGTTGCCGACCGGATCTGGAAACCTTATGTGTGTAGGATTCTAACCGTACGATTACGAGATTAGAACTAACATGTAAACGTTTCGGAGTGATAAGGGAATTGAAATGTCTAACAAGGATAAACACCTAAATTCTCCTTATTCGGTATATAG